GGGGGGGGGGGCTTTTGTTTGGATGTTTTTGACGTAGCCTTATGACTGAATTTTCACGGCTCGCCATCCAGCTAGTTAGTCAGCTCGCCGAGCCACTCAGCGCCGAACAATCAAACAAACAAAAGACAAAACATTTCATCTCTCCCTTCATCTGCTCTGGCAATGTCGCCTCAAAGTAGGGTTTTTTTCGTCCTCGGTGTTCCTTTAGTTCCTTCAGCTGATGATGGTAGTTGGATTGATTTGATTGCAAAATAAAAAGTTAGACCACGCAGGGAAAATATGTATAAAAGTGCAGTTTTGTGTGTGTGTGTGTGTGTGTGTGTGTGATTTCTGCTTTCTAGTAGCTCTGTAGCAAGCGTCTGCTTTGTTTGCATCAAAAGATTACAGCTTCTTTATCTTCAAAAGAGCCTTTAAGCAATGAGATCATAGAAACCAAAATCATCCGTGTGTTTTCACGCAGATGATTGGCTCCATGCTGAAACACTGTGATGATTGATCTCAGGCCACTCGCTGCTAAACAAATGACATACACCTAATCTAGCCCGGTGATTTTTCTTCTTTCTTTTCTTTTCTTTGTACCATTTCTATCGAGCCGGCTGTATTTTCATCCACGGTGCAGCGCAAACACATCTGTGTATCATCATGTTGAAGTTGGGATGTTACTCTCGCAGTATTCACACTTGAGAGATTTCACCGCACTGCACGTGTGTGTGTGTGTGTGTGTGTGTGTGTGTGTGTGTGTGTGTGTGTGAGCATTACAGCATGTTAACATCAACAGACTGCTCTGCACCCACAACATTTCCCACTGACAGAAGTTACATTTAGTGTTGTCCAGCGGAGCATCTCAGCTGTTTAGTTGTACAAAGCACTCAACTGTGTCATGAAGTCAATGGGAAACTTTTATATTTTCCCGCCATTGTTAGTGCTAATAGTGTTCTATATATGTGCGAGCAGTTACCATTAAAGGGATAGTTCAGGTGTTTTCAAGGGGGTTCTCATCCATAGTCAGGGTATCACCCGCAGTAGATGGCGTAGGAATATTTTCACTGCACTATCCCTTTAATAGCAAGAAGATGATGCATAATCATGGTCAAATCTGCAGTGTGATTTGTTAACTTATTACATCGTTGCTTCACTATAATCACATCCTATTATTATGGTGGGACGCCTGGAGCTGCCTCAGGCATCATCACCAGGGACTGTCAGTGCTCTGAAGATAGAAACACACATTGTTTATTATGAAGAAGAATAATGTTTTTCAGTGATATTTTGACTACGTTTTAAGTGTTGAAAATATTATAAAGTTGCCTCTCTGGCCGTGTCCGTGCCAACAGAGCAGACTGACTTTTTATTCACCGTTAATGGAATAGCTTTGTGAATGTACGTAGCTTTGTTTGGCCAGGAACTCCCCAAGGGTTCAGTGTTAGATATGCAGCAGGCTATTTGTCACGCACCTTGTTCCACGTGTTGCAATGTGTCAGATGAGTACAGAGAACATGAGGCAGAGGAGCGAAACAGTAACACATGTAACGCATGCACTGTTTGTGCGCTTGTGTCACTTCCAGGATCCTCACACACAGAATCTCCGCTTGGTGCAGTTTTACTTTAATATTTCAGCAATCGACCATCAAACCAAATGAAATATTCGGAGCTCCATCCAATTTAAATTCTGAATTTTATAGCTTTTAGATGAGCGGCGGTCTCTGTCAGAGCAGCTCCTTTGTATTGAAATGCTGACCGTGGAAACATTGATTGATTGATTGATTACATCTCCCGTCCTGACATGGTTTATTATAAGTCCCTCACTTTCATTATCTAGAAACCCACCAGAAAACTGTCAGAAAGCAATTTAAGATCTAAATCATGATTTCAAGGCCGCTGCTCACATGTGCGCAGACACCGTTTGCATTTGAAACTATCTACAATCCAAATGGACTAATTAAGTAATTTTTATTTGTTCATCTTTTCTTTGCACAAATTTGTGAAATCAGTTATGTGTAATCAGCTATAATCATCGCAGCCAACAGCAGAGACACGAATACTATAATCAGCTGTTGGTTTGTTTGCGTACCGGTTAATTGGTGGTTATTCATCGCACATTGAAGAGCATAAATTAAGCATCAAAATAATGGGCCTCATGGAAGGTGAACACAGTCATTGTTAAATGGTACATAAACGTGATCTAAGAGATATTGTCACATTTATCAGTTTTCCTGTGTAATAATTTATAGCTTGCCAACATGTATTTAATAGACATATTTATAAAAATGTGCATCATGGTCTGCCAGTTTACAAAAATGTTCTACATTGTTTCATTTTTTTTTCTGGCATGCAGCTTTTACAGTAGTTTTTTTTGCCACACTCAGACAGCTGCTTCAGGGTACTCCTGCGGGTCACAGCCCAGGTGTGCGCCCCTCCATTATATATCACCTGATAGTGTTACATCTTTTGTGAACTACACTTGCCTGGAGCAGAACGGGCAGCCTTACACACAAAAGACGCTTAGAGGTGTCAGCTTTACTAATGACCAGATCTCTGCAATGCACATCTGCTCATGGACAGTCATGGATTCATCAAGTTGAGAAATGAGAAATGCAGCTTTTGTAGTTAAGAGGTTAGAAAGAGTGAGAGAGATTTCGGGTAAGAAAACATGTTCTTGCTGGGTTGTTTTGCACAAGTGGGTTTACATCCACCTGTTTGAATGCACATGTTCTATTTCTGTAAGTGCATATAGTATGGGATTAGAATTAGGCCACACATTTTAGGGTGACGGTGACAGTGTTTCTTCCGGGGCCCGCTACACATGCAGAAAACATGTTCTTCAACTGGGGTGATGTGACTGACAACCTATTTCCTCCCAGCCGCCACGTGGTAACAGCAGGATGCAACTCAATTCACTCTAGACTGTATAGATGATTTGTCAGGGAGGCATTCGACTAAAGCTTTCATGGGGAAAAAAAATGACAAAATCACATCATCCCAAAACTTCATCTGTTTCGTGAGGTTTTTTTCGAGTCGCGGAATAACAAATGTCACATTTGTGACGGCTTAATCACACTCCTCTCGGCGTGAAACAGTAGCAGATCAGCACTATCTGGCCTCGTCTGCCACCACAGACCGCAGAGTCCATTTCACAACAATTCAGAACGTGTCAGAGACAATGGTAGCCAAAGGTAAGGTTCAGGATGACTGTGAATGTGACCGTAAATAAGCATGTTTTGACACTCTCTCTCTCTCTCTTTCTCTCTCTGCAGGAGTTGCAGTTTGAACGTCTGACCAGGGAGCTGGAAGCCGAACGACAGATCGTTGCCAGTCAGTTGGAGAGATGCAAGCTTGGCTCTGAGACTGGAAGCATGACTAGCATCAGGTGTGTTTGTGTGGTTTTGTCTCCCACCTGTCAGGACCTCTTCTGCGCACTCTGACCTGCGTGTGTGTCAGTCGTGCTCTCGCAGGTGACCGATTAGACAGCTGGTACACTCCTTGATTTGTGTCCAAAAATCCAAATCTATGATTGAAACCACAGTTTAAAAAGAGCGAGTGAAACCAGTGTTCCTTCACCCCCTTTACCCACACACATACTACAGAGCTGCTACATACCTATTTATTATGTTGCTTTCTTACAAATTCACACAATTAAGACATATCATAGTGGAAGAGATACATATATCTGGTCAATGTATCCTCATACAATGGTTCATATGGTATCCTGCGAAAAGTTACTCCTCATTTTTTCATACGTTTTCCCTCGAAAGCCAGCAACATGTATAGGCCTACAGCCTTTAGGCTACAAAACAACTTAGTTAGGTTTAGGAATAGATCGTTGCTTGGGTTAAAATAACCGCGGAAGTGCCGTTACTGAAGTACGTAAGATACGTGACAAAAACATACAAAAAATTAGTGTGGGATATCTATGAATTCTTTCTTGAAGGTCTTGCTACAAATGCTGGATGAGACCAGTCTGATCTGGCAGCTATAGCTTCACTTTTGCCGGCATAATCAAAGGAACTATGTGTAGCATTTATCTTTAATAAGTAATGGCAATCATTTTGAAAGATAGTTACAACATAAGACCTCTTAGCAAATACATTGATTGTTAAAAGGTCTAGCTGCATCTAACTGAGCTATGGAGCGTAAATTGACACATGCAAAAATTGATGCTAGAGGGGTACGTAGAGCATCATAGTGTGAAACTTACCAAACTTGCAAGTTCTAAAACCAAAACAATGAGCTGAAAGAAGCTAAAACGCTTCGAAGAACTGCAGACTTGTGTGGTGGTACTTTGAGGGTTTGCGACTACCTATCCTGCTGCCCAAAGTCATTCGATCCATTGGTATTAAAAACCATCGGTTAGTTCAGCTTGTAAATACTGTAGCTAGCCTTTTTTAAAGATTGTGACCATGCAACATAATGGATGGTCATAATTAATGAAAAAAGAAGTCATTGCTATTTGAGAACCCACAGTATCTGTTATCAGCTCTCACTAGTATTATCCCTCTTCTTCCTCCTCATAATAAACACGCAGAAAAACAACAGGGAGGTCAAGGGGACATGAAGCAATTAATTTGTTATCACCTAATAAAACATGTTGCTCAATCCAGAGTCATTTTCATAAATAAGTACAATAAAAGCCGAAGGATGATAACTTGAGCCCTCTTATAGACCTCATTGTATGTGTAAGGTGTGCGTCAAGAAAGGCTATAGATAGATCTGTCAAAAACTCACTGGCAGACTTCAGTTTATTGACAGGATCAAGTTGCAATCCTGAAGCTCTTAACTGCATCGGCTGCAGCTTTAAGCCGGATTTGATGATCATGTAACTGATTAATGATCAAATGATTTCGCATCAATCAACGCTTCTATGTGGATTTGTTTATAACCTGTATTAGAGCGTTACAGCCACAGATGTTGTACTTTGAGTCAAAGTGTCATTATTAAAAATCAACATATATTTGTTGTAGCATTTTGCTGGAGCTGAACACAGACATGACCTTGTGTTGTGCTAACATACAGACCTAATCTCACTAATTCCCCTCGTTTGTGATAATCAAGAGTGACAGCATTTCCCGACTTACCTTTTTGCAGCAGCAGTGAGCAAAATTACCTTATTTTGCGTCAAAATCGTGACTACCCTGTCAGTGTAACCCACCAGTTTCATCAAAGCGTCTGCTTTCAGTAGTTTAAATTGAATCTTGGCTCAGGTCTGATGGCACAAAGCAAATCCCCAGCTTTGCAAACATGATACGCTATTAATTGTCCATTAAAAACTGCAATTACTTCTTAAAAAGGATCAAACAATGCGCAGCTGTCACAGGAGTCCATTGTTCTGCTCGGGGGGCCTTCGTGTTTTTTTTGTTGTTTTCTTTTTTCGTGATGAGAGGAAGTACACTGTTCACAGTGTGTCATATTAAGTGCCGCCTGATTGAGTTTGGACCCAAGCTTCAAAGAACACATTCTACACATTCCATACCGGTCCCGTGATGTGAAGACAGCCCTCCTGACACAATAGTGGTAACGCACTTAGCCTGCCTCTCAGGACAATGTAACACGATTAAAGTCTGTCTCTGTCTCACTCTCTCTCACACATACACAAACGCACACTCGCACTAATAGACGCACACGATCCATCATCTATTGTACTCTCTGATTCCGTTAAGCGAGCGGGGATTCCATCAGTCTCAAACTAATTACTCATCTGCCCGCATTGTAATTCTCGTTTCAATTTGAAGGGTGGACCAACAAAGAGCCGAAAGATGGTCTAAAACCCGATTTATTCAGCAGTCTAATTAACTGGTGATGCGTTTAGCTCCTCAACGCTTTGAAAGGGCTGCATCGAGGGCCCCCCATTTAAAACAGCAGCGACCATGGGAGACGGAAGAGGTGTGGAGTCCAAAAGAAAAGCACGTCTTCCACTTCATCACCCAGCTGCGCACAGATGGAATAAAGGCTGGCATGTTGCTAACTTGATTAGCTGGGTTTATTATTTAGTGAGGAGCGTCCACAATGTCCGTCCGCCATTGCTTTATATCCACTTTGTTGGACATCGAGGTAATTACCAAATGGACAAATGGTTTGGCAAAACAAAACAAGGCACTGCTGGAAGTTTGCAGAGCCTAAAGCATGAAGGATTTATTGCCCAATCTTGTCTGAAACATTGGTATTGTTGCCGTTCTGAATCATCACTGCCTGTCCCGGCAAACAGAAGGGGCAACATTTAATCTGCAGCTACAAGACATGAACAGGGATTTATCTTGGTAGCATTTGTGGTGAGACATATTGACACTGTGCGCAGCAATTAAACTAGGAGCTTGAATATTCTCAGCAGCTTGGTGGAAGTAAAACTAAACTCAAATTGCTGCTGTGTTTTGAGTTTTTTTCCTTTTGTCATTTCGGTGGATAATTGGCTGTAGTAAATTAATAGTTTTTTCTGTAAGTTCCTTTCTATCTTCTTTGCTTTTAGCGAGGTTAGCATATGTTAGCACGGCCGAGATGCATTTTGGCCCGTACAATGTTTTGTTTTCTTCTTCAGCAAGGTCTGTTATATGAAAGCTATTTTTTTGTTAGCAGCCTGTCTCACTGTGTTCTAAATCCAGGCTGTCCAGTTGCACTTTGGGACAGTGCTAGAAACATTTATCACCACTAGCAAAAGCTAATTTACTGGTGTTGTCTGCGTTGGCATTACTTGCTCCAAGCTACAATTTCTCACTTTAATTCAGTGCATGTCTGTCACATTAGCTAGCTAGCGCTGTCAGTTGTATAGTAGGAAAAAGTAGCCTCAAGGAAAGTGTTCCAAACAAATATACTTTAATATTTGAATATATTCAGTGTTGTTTGTAAATGGGAAAGCTGTATATTCTAGTTACTTTTGCTTACGGTTCATGTCTGACGTTTGAAACCATATGACAAAAAAGATCTTAGTCTACTTATTACGTTTTTCCTGAGCCGGAATGAGTTTGTTTTTAACCCAAAACAGTTGTTTTCTCTCAGCTCATAGTAATCCAAATGGTCCCAACATTAACATTCAATAAATCATTTAAAACATGATACTGTCTTGATATACTATCCGGAAGCCAGGAAGCATACTAGTTCCTCTGACAACTCTCATCACAGGAAGTCTTATGCTGCATTCACATGGAATCAGACAAAAGGCAGACGGACAACACCTTCTGGACCGCACGAGAAAAAACTAACTACCAGCCGGACGGAGTGGCATGGCGGCAAAAACGAAACACACATTACAATATGTTGCCATGGTCACGTCATATTGTTAAGAATTTGCATGTAGCTACCAAATGCATAATATTCTATTGCAAACTTAAACAACTTTCGCCTAGGCTGAGGGAGCTACGTAGAATCCAGAAAAATGTTAAAATGTTTTTACTTAGATAGTTATTGTTGCTGTTATTCTCTGCAGACCTCACCTAATTTCACCGTCCTGCTCACGCCCACTAAGTTTGCATTTACCGTCTGGTCGATTCCATGTGAATGCAGCATTATTGGCATTCTCAAAGTGGCAGCTCTTGTTTCTACTCCCAGACAAACACAGTAGATATAATATCACCGGTGTTGTTATGATACAATGACTGTGGGATTTTCAGACCCCTTGGCTGATGCCAGATAGATATTGTCTAGATAGACGGTAGAAAGAAATAGAGGATGGGACTGTGTAACAGTGTTTTATGTGTACTTGCAACTATTGAAAATACAGATTTTCCTGTGTCACCAGAAGGGAATCCCCAAAATCAATCGATATGTGAATCATGCGCCAACATTTTTATTTTTATTTTAGTTAGAAGTCCTTTCAGTTGACTTTCTTTGTCTGTATTATTTGAATTTGACAGCTCCATTAAAAAGTAAGCAATGAAGTACTTAAAATAATGGAAATCTGTCCCCAGATAGGCAGCCGGGCTAAACCACAGAAAAGTTGAATTAAGAATGAGCCTTAAGTGCAGCTGTGAGGGGGCCGGCAGTTCAGGACTCCTGTTGTGTTGTGGAGGATAAGGACTTTCAGAGATGCTAATGAGATCTTCAGCTCTGCCTTTGTTTCCAGTTTTAATCAGTCACCACAGGTCACAGTGTCTGCCTTGGCATATGCCACTGCTTTATCAATTCAAGAGGCACAACTCCACTGTGTGTGTGTGTGTGTGTGTGTGTGTGTGTGTGTGTCGCTCTATCAGTCAAACGGAGACAATGTTTTTGTCTGCCAAGAGAAGAGCGCGATGTACGTCGCCTCATTAGTTAAAGGACCATTCCGCCTCAAATGTCAATGTTGCAAGGGGATACTTCGGTGGTTCTTCTGGGGTGGAGATGAAGCAAATGGTAAATTGCCATGATTCTGATTCTATTGTAGATGTCTGTGTTCACCCTTTA